TGATAGATGGAGTCATGAAGCTGCTGTAAATCATCTCCTTGACTCTGTAGAAGATCCTCATGCATGTAAAAGTCCAGAAAACCCTAAACCCTTAACCCTCAGCCCCAAAAACCCTGTAAACCCCTATAAGGCCCTCCAAAACCCACCCTTGTGAAAGCTCAGCGGCGCTCGTAGAACTGGAGCTCGCCTGGCCCTGCTGCGCGGTTAGTTCATCGGTGGTATGCGAAGGGTGCTGCAACGATTGGGGCGGGTTTTAAGGAAGTTGTCTCAGGGGCTGGGTTACCCTAGCCGAAGAAAGGCTAGCCTTTTCAAACATGGTAGGATTGTATATAAACCCCCAAAGGTTAAAGGTTACCTACTCAGCTACAACCCTAAAAACCCAGAATCCTAAAAGCCCTAAAAACCCTAAACACCCATAAAGGGCGCCACCAGTTCCGAAGTGCCCCAAAATAGTGAGGGTCAGATTTGGAGAAAAATGCCCAGGGGAGCCTCAAAGAGGCGGACGAGTTAGCATGGAAACGCGCTAGGACCGCTAGGATTTCAGGGACATTCGAGGGTTTAGGGTTTTTTTGGGTTTTTAGGGCTGTTTAGGGGATTTTTGGGTTTAGCCCAATTTCAGAACGAATGTAAAGAGAGCTGCGGCGGGAGCACCGCAACCACCCCAAAATAGGCACCAGAACTGTGGCGGGAGCGATATCATGAGTCTGAAGAGATATATAGCCCTTACAGTTACAGTGAATCGCCACTGCCCAGAGGACGGAGTTCGAGCATGACTGTGGAAAGAATGCGATATACTCGAAAGGCGCGCAGTGTTACAGCGGGACCCGCGGAACCACGAGTGCGCCTGCCTCTCGTGCCTCGCACTGACGCTTAGATCACTAAGCACTCCCTCTTTGTCTGTGCGCAGAGCTTTAGAACTTAGTACGTACTGGTTACCACGCTGTTTGGAGGAATTACAATCCCTTAACAACCCTACAAGAAAGCCTGTGCTGAAGGACTTTGGGGTTCTTGCCTCGTATCCAATCATCGAGGCCCCGCTCCAGCGCAACAGCGCAAACATCGGCATCTAGTACGACAGCTGTGTACCTTTGCGTTCTACGAGTTTCTTCTTGAGGCCTTTCCTTGGACGGTAGGGGTGGACGGCTTAGGAATACCTTCTGCTTGCTGTTCCAAGAGTTTGGATTCGGTTCCTGGATTAGGTTGCTAACGGCACTCGCCCAGGATTTTTGGGTCAAGGCGTAGACTTTGGCTTGGAGGGTTGAGGGAGGGTTTCGGATAGGGTTTGAGGTTAGATCTGAGGATTGCTATGGACGGTTGAGGTTGAGATGGGTTGCGGGTTGAGGATCACAAGAATGGTCATAGGTCACAAGGTCTGAGATTTCGTCCAAATCGCTGGACTGTAGAATGGGTCTCCAGGGCTCCGGCTCATGAGAGTCTGTTTAGGTTTTATAGGGTTTAGGATTTTAGGGTTGAGGGTTTTAGGGTGTGGGTTTACAGGGTTTATAAGGTTTAGGGCTTACAGGGTTTATAGGGTTTACAGGGTTTATAGGGTTGAGGGTTTACGGTTCTAGGGTTTAGGGTTTTTAGGGTTTTAGGGTTTAGGGTCTATAAGGTTTAAGGCAGTCAAAACCTAATCCCTAAATTTTCCTTTTTTTGGCTCCCGCTTGGCAGTGTCGCGCGCGACTCCACATAATGCAGCTAAATTCTCCTTTTTTTTCCCTCCCACTTAGCAAGGACGAGCCCGCATTGCAGGGTTAAGTAAATTCTCCTTATTCATTACGGTTTCGGAGCTCCCAGTCGGACAACCCAGGCGAGGCACATGGTCACTGGTCGGCTGTGTGAGAACTCAATCACCACTTAGGGTTTACGGGTGTAGGGCTTAAGGGTTCTGGGGTCCATGCTGGAATTTCGGGTATTCCAAAGGGCCCTACCCCTAAATTCTGAACCCAACCCTGAAACCCTCAACCCTAAATACCTTACAAGGGACAAACTAACATAGAACCCGGGTTCATGGGATCCGTAGGAGAAGGATCCGCATATCAGGGGCCCTTGTCTTTTCGAGAAGCTGTGTCCCAAACTCGAAAACCGTTCATAAACCGAAACCCGTAAGCCCTAAAAGGAACCAAAAAGGTTTAGGCGCCTTACATCCCAAAACATATGAATAATCCGTGGGCTTACACCCCAACAAAAACAAACGAAAACAGCTCCGTCCGAACACCCTAGTCGCCTAATCCCTAAAAAAACTAGCAACACCCAGAAAAAGACTGAGTGACTTTCTCGAAGGTCGAGCTGCCCGTCTGCCTGCGTTTCCAGGAACTCGGCGACCGCACAATGCCTGCGGACAGAACAAAACATGCCAGCAGATGAGTATCAAGCTTGATGTCCATGTTAGTATTGGTATATTATGAGCATGTTGTAGGGCTTGGGATTTAGGGCTGGAGCTTAACATTGAAAACAGTGGCCTTAATGACTAGGGTAAGGTTCTTTCCATCGGCAATAATGCTCACATATGCCAACGGTAGTTTACTTGTCTCATTGTTGTATGAAGACTTCTTGGGGATAGAGTTACTAATGCAGGTTCTGAAGACCGGCTTCACTCTTCTCAAGAAGGGCGGTCGGTGCTATCTGCTAGCTTCGCGAACTCAGAAAGCCCGGAACAAAAACAACACGAGCTGCCCTTCCAAGCCCTGCCAGCGTGAAATTGCTTAGAAATTCCTTAAGCGCCCTGAGAACCATCGTTCTTCTAGCAATACTGTTCATAATCTCGTGGCGTTTCGTAGAATAAAACCCAAATTTTTTCCCAAAAAGCACGAAAGCTTCAACCTGCTCCAAGAAAGCCTGTGGCATCACAAGACAACCTTTCTGATTGGAGGCCTCCAAAGGAGGGATGAAGGTAGGAAGGATTAAGGACCCTCTTATCTCAGGACTCGTGTTTGGGAATACACTTACCCTAAACCCTAAATTTTAGCGTTTAGGGTAAGTGTATTCCCCAACACGAGTCCTGATAACCCTAAAACCCCTAAACCCTAAAACCCCTAAACCCCAAAACCCTAAACCCCAAAACCCGTAAACCCTAAACCCTAAACCTACCCTCATCCCACCCCTGGAGCCGGTTGATCAGAACCAGCATGAAGCAAACACGCAGTTCCATTCAGCGCAGGGGCTTAAGGTAGAAGAAGTCGCCACGGAACCTGCATCCAAAGTCATCGACGTATGGATCGTTCTCTAGATTAGGGTCCCTTGTTGGGGGTTCTTCTTATAATTGTTATAAGGGTGCCGTACTACTTGGTGGACCTAAAGAGGGGCAATAGCTAAGAGAACTACCCGTATCCCATATCCCGACATGGGCACTCTCTCCAGAAATTATGCAAGGTGTCAGGTAGCCCAGGGTGACTCCGGAGTGAGACACCAAACACATTCATGCGGACGGCCTTCTTCGCAGCGTAAAAAAAAACGTTAAGCAGGCTTAGCAGCTTAGCAGTTCAATTCGACAACAGAGGCCTTAGTTTCTCACTCCCAATCCCTGGACACAAGACCCTCAACCCTAAACCTCAGAAGCCAATTCCGGTGCTTCAATTCCCAAGCCTCAATTCCCAAACCCCTAGATTCCAACACTCCTACAACCCAAGCATGGCTTCCCTGAAGCAGATATCTCAAACCTCGCCCAGCTTGCTCAGTAACAAACTCCTAAAACTAAAACCCCGAAGCCTGGCCTCCGGAACTCTACTTCTCTGCTACGTACGAAGTCCCCTGATCTTTTGAGTATTCGGGGGTTTAGGGTTCAGGCGGTTCAGGGCTTATAGGGTTTATAAGGGTCTAGGCTTAGGATACTTCAACATAATTCTAGCTTGCTAACTCCCTGATCCTTGAAGTGCTCTCAGCAACCCTTCTAGACTCTAGACCCTAAAACACCACCGAACAAAGCCGCTATGAAGTCCTATCCTGACCCTTGAAGTAGTAGCCATCAGCTTAACCGAGCGGCGCGATGCACTTGGGAAAGGCGCTACCATTCAGAAGCCAGAGGTCATATCCCTGCTGCTGGGCGTAGCATCGGAGACTTTGGATCTGGGTCCCATACTGCCTGGGCTGCTTTTAGCAGTTGGTAGGGTTCAGGGTTTAGGGCAGTTTAGGGTTTAGGAGTTTAGGGTTTAGAAGAGGGCTTAGGGTTTGGGGCTTAGGTTTAGGGTTTTCGGGTATGGCTTTCTTCGACTCTCAGACTCGCACAAGGCAGGCAAGGACAACAGGCATTATTTGGCTTTCGGGCTCTTGGGGTTTGCGCGGTTTGGGGTTTAGAGCTTGAGGACTTCGGCCTGGCACATGTCTCGATATGTGCTTCAAGGCTCTTGGTTTGGGGACTTTTTGGGGGGCTTTAAATTTAAGGTTTCGGGAGTTACCGCTTCATGCTTCAGGGTCTTTGGGGTTTCTCGTTCTACGGGTTTGGAGTTTAGGCTTACGCTCTCGCTACTCTGACTCCTCCAGACGAGGTCTCTCGGTTCTCAGGCACACTACACAGCTACTGGAGAAGGCGCGGATCTGTTCAACACCACAAGAGCAGGGTTTAGGGTTTCGTCCAGATCCCCCGGGATCCCAACATGTCCCAAGGAATTGAAGTGAGCAGCTTCTGAAATTGGTCGTCGGCGAGGACAACAAGTCCGATGGGGTGCATGCCTGCTCTCCCAGGCATCCCCTTCTTGCAGCTGAAACGGTTTAGGGCAAGTTAAGGGTGGAACCCTAAACCCTAAGAGTCCGAAACCCTGTCTGGCCCTTTGCCGACTGCTGGGTCCATGGGTCAAGAAAGGCCAGACGTGACATGTTCAGTGGTCACTGGTTCTCTGGAGTAGCCGTGCAGCAAAAAACTAACCCTCCTCTTTGAGCGAAGAGTGGAAGCAGGCCATACCCGTTTGGGTAACACACCTGCAACGCTACAACCTACAAAGGGACTTGGCACACATGCACAACCCTCCACGCTCAGCTGCTCGCGGCGTGCTCTTCGAGGACTGACTCTCAACGGCGCCAACGGGCACAACAGCTCCGATGACGTCTGCGCAGGTGGCCACAGTGGACGCAGTCTCTTCAGAGCTTGGTATGCCGGACTTCGAAGCCGCCGGCAATGCCTTCGGCGCTTGGAACATGCCGCCCTTGTCGGGCCAGTAATAAAAAGGGCTCAAGAGTGCCCAAAACAGCACGTAGCCCGCATGAACTTGGAAAGGAAGTAGAGCGTCGTGAATGGGCTGATAGAAGCCAACTCCGGCAATGACGGCGCCGAGGTTGCCGCCAGCTCCCACCACAGCGGACACCACTGCAAGCTGATCTGGCTTCATGAATGGGACAATTCCGTAGCTTGTCCCCTCAGCCATCTGCACAAACAATGAGAAACACACCAACACACCCAAGGCCACATACCACGGCTGGGAGTGGTCCACCCTCCCAAAAGCGAACCTGGGCTCGTCTTCAAGTTCTCAAACCCCGTTGGTTTAGGGGTTCGCGTCTTTCTGAATCCTGCCTTGTGATATGACTGGACAAGGCCGGAAATCGGTTCAAAATCGCGACAGCTCGTTCGAGGAACGGAATGCTACGCTGCTACATGATTCTATGCAGAAAAAGCCCACGACTTTGTCCACTGCTCTACTCAACTACTAGACGTAATGAACCCAGACCCCAAGCAGAACCGTTGCCTCCCATGGCAACAAGCCCTGAACCCTAAACTTACTAGTAGGAAGGTTCTGTAACAGGATACTTTAAGGACTCTATGGGCTCATTATGAAAGGCTCTACATGAGGGCTTTTCTAGGGCTCGAAAAAGCTTGTCTAAACGCAACTTGTTATAAAAAGCCCTTGCTTTCTCCTCCCTTGGGAGCAGGAAGATCGCCTCGAAGACCAGCGCTAGGAACCTGCGATGTGAGTTCCTAAACCCTAAACCCGACCAGCCCCGGATTTTCTATGTGCTATCTGTTGCAGGGCTTGATTAGGACTCTATAAGGCTCGTAGGGTTTGAGCAGGTTGGTAGGGTTTTTTGTAGCGCCCTGTAGGGTTTTGTTGGAACTTTCTAAGGCTCTTCAAGGGATTTGTAACATCTTAGCAGGACTTTACAAATTTAAAGCATCAGATAAGTTATTGTTCAGAGCGTTATAAAGCAGCGTTTGTAAGGCTTCATCAGGGCTTTCTACAGTTTATCTGCGCTTTACAAGGCTTTATCCGGCTCGTGTGGGGCTTTGTCTGGGCTTTGTCGGGTTTCATCAGAACTCCATACGGCTTTATAAGTTTGTAAAGGCTTTCCAGAATTTATACTGCGCATTGCCAGGGCTTGGCAGGGTTTATCAAGCCTTACTCTTACAGGGCGTTGAAGGGGTTCTGTAGGTTTTTCTCAAGACTGTATAGGGAGTTATACAGGTTCTGTAAGGATTCGTAGGTTTTTCTCAAGACTGTATAGGGAGTTATACAGGTGTTGTAATGAAGACTTTGCAGGGTGCTAAACGGGGTTTGTAGGGCTTTATCACGACTTTGCAGGGCGCTATGCTCAATACGGGCTCCGGAGTGTTTTATGAGGGCTTTACAAGGTGCTGCAAGGGCTTTGTAGCGGTCTGGACTGTACAGGGCAGAACAGGGTTTTGCACGCATATACGTCCTTTAGAACAAGATTTGGCAGGGTTTCTTCTAGTCATTAGACGTATTTTGCAAGGCTTTACCCAGACTTCATAGGGCTTTATGAAGGGTTTGGAAGATTTCATCAGGACTTTAGGGTTTTACGGTTTCGGGTATAAGGTGTAGGGTTTCATAAGAGTTTTGTAAGGTTTTATGCCGGCTCTATACGTTTCGCATAATGACTTTATGAACCTAAGTTCAGGGTTGGGGCTAAGGGTTGTGAGGCATTTGCGTGCTTTGTTGATTCGCAAGCAACCAGGGATTGCACAAAGACGAAGCTTCTGTTGCATCGTGGTTGTTATCTTGAGGCAGGCTCCAGAAAAAAGCAAAGAAGCCCTACAATCCAGAACCCAAGAACACCAACAATCTTGGTGGCAAGCCCTTTGCCAAAAAAAATGTATGCAGCTCCAAAACGCCTTTTGTAGGAACACAGTGCCAATAAACAAAGAACACGATTGCAACACACCCCCACAGAGCAACATGATTTTGCAATATTCTGTATATAGGACGAAAACAATCTAGACACATATGCGCAACATATGGACAGCATGTACATCTATTCATATATGTCTTCTGCACATATTTATGTACACATTTACATAACGCTTATGCTTATGTCACGTACGCATGTGTACCTAATTTGTGTATTCGTATGCACTCTATGTATGTATCAGGTCATTATTCTTCTCAACAATACTACCATTTACTTCTCACATTTTGGTGGTACTATTGTTCTTGTTGTAGACATATGCGGTATTCTATGCAACTACCTCTTTTCCATATCCTAATCTATCCTGGTGTTCTATTCTAGTATATGGGTAGTTCTCTAAAGTAGGGTCCCTTTTAGGATCCTTTTTTCTAAGGGGTGCTGTATTCTTTGGGGGACCCAAACAGGGACCCTAAGTTGGAGAACTACCCATACTTGGAGGTTCATGGGTAGTTATAGGTATGGTTATAAGCTATGAGTCCCCCAATATAGGTCATAACTATAGTTACCTTTCCCAGAAACCCCACTTGTAACTACCCATGAACCTCCAAGTATGCCCTAAACCCTAAACCCTATGCATGAGGAGCCCAGGGGCTGTACCCAGATTCGGCCCCGGAAGCCAAAGTGATGGAAGCAAAGGTCGCTGGAAGCTCCGCCCAAGGACCGCGCGAAGAGGTTCCTTTTTAGGGTGTGTGTGTGTGTGTGTGTGCGTGTGTGTGTTTGTTTGTCCTTGTGGTTCGTGCCGCTTTTAGGATTTTGGTGTTCCTTGTTTCGAGTTTTGAAATTTAGGTTTGCAGGTAGACTTTTATGGGGTCTGTAATACGTATACGGATGAGGGTTAAAGGGGTCTACACGGTGCAGGAGGTTCCTTGCATTTAGACGGGTTTTGGGAGGTTCAATAGGAAGCTCAAAATAGTTTTGAACCTTCACAAAGCCCCTGAACCGAAAACCTACCCAAGAAACCCAAAACCACTCAAAGCCTGGGAAAAAAAGGAGACTACCAAACACAAAAGTTCTTCAACAACCAGGGCACATCAGGCCGAAACACCCGGCCAAGAGAGTTGCGTCGCCGGCCCCAAGCTGGAAGTAGGTACCTACAGCAAAGACGGGTTAGGGTTTAGGGTTATGGCTTTAGGCTTTAGGGTTTTAGGGTTTAGGGTTTAGGGTATCTTATGGGGCCGTAACTGATATTTTAAAAGATGGGTTCTTCTCTAGGGGTTCTACAACACAAGGGTTGTCTAAGAATGGTCAGAAACCCTAACGAATAGTAGTGCTGGCTATTGGGGTGCCTAGACTAGTAGACTGGTTGGGGTTCAGAACTTACTGGTCCCTAAACCTTCTAAACCCTAAACTTTAAACCCTAAACCAGAAGTTAGTAGTCCCTATGTAAACCCTAAACAGTGGCTGGGGGTTTGGCGGTTTATTTGGGGGGTTACGGGGCCCCAGACTCCAAAACGCCTGAGTCAAGCGTGGTCGCATCAAGTTTGTATTAGTAGTCACCGAGGGTCGTAGGCCTTTGTATAATGAAGGATTTAGGGTTTAGGGAATATAGAATGAGTATGTTATACCAACCCAACAACGAAGCATCCCTCTGTCATTTGAAGTAAACTCCCTAATTCAAGGGTTTGAAAGGCTCTGGGTAGCGACTGCTAGGAGGAAGGTTCAGAGTGTAAACTATAGCACTTAGGGATTGGCGTTTAGGATCAGAATCAGCTGAATTAGGCAGTAAGCCAGAATTCATGGCTTGAAATGCGGTACTTGAGTTACTTGAGGTTATCCTATGCACGATGTGGTCACAAGCTTACATATCAACTAGTTACCAAGTCCCCTGTCCTCTGACCTTTGGGGTATCTGCTCTTTATTGCAAACTGGCTGCTGCATCCTTAACAAAATGACGGCTATTGCTGCCAAGGTTCGGAAGTGAGTTGCAAGCTGATTGTTCATTGCGAGCTCAGCGCCAAAACACGCCGAGTACTGAAAGATCATGATGACAACACGGACGTCCTTCAGCACTTCTACGTAGTCCCGTAACCTGGGCTGCTCTTGGCATTCCTTCGAAAATCCCATGGTGTTCCTTCTTTAGGCCTGTACTATTCAAAAACCCTCCACAGTCCTTCCTGTCACGTACGGCCTAATACCGTTAATCCTAAACCTCAAAGGCTCAACCCTATGTCTTAAACCAAGCATCCCAAAGCCTAAGTTCCCTGGACCCTAATCACTGAGTTCCCCAAACCCTTTACATAATGTAGGGGCCTTAAAAGCTGGAATAGGGTTTTGGGGATTCCCTATAATTATAGCATAATACACCCCAAAATCCTATTCTGATTATTAATGCAATATACCGTACCCCAAAACCCTAGTCGAAGGATTCAGGCCCCTGTAGTACGGCCTAGCAACGAGGGCTTCTTGGTCTTGCCTATGACTGTCACATCGAAGCGCTTGCAGGTCGGCGTATCCCAGCAACAGAGCTTCAAGGCCAAGGCGCACCTGGGCTCTGCTTTCAAAGAACCTTTATACTCCGAAGTACAGTAGAATCAGAATGCAAAAAATAATGCCAATAAAAAATAATACTTATCACGAGAATTCCATAGTTCTAATATTATCTATTCAGAACACTAGTAGTGGTCGTAACAAAGTAATACGAACTACTTATGGCTAACAGTATAAATTAGATCATAAATTAGATCATGCTGTAACACCTGGGCGGCTTTGGGATAGTTCCTGGCTTCTGCATTGCTGAATTCGTCGCTTAGGGCTCATGCTTACGCTGTGCGAAATCAAAGAACAAATGCAAGACTGTCCCAGGGACAGCAGGAAGACGACTGCGGGGACCAGCATTGCCACTCTCCACGCAGTATTGTGATCCAGACCGGCGTTCACCATTGGAGTAAAAAGCACGGACATCATGAAGATCTGCGTCACGCCACCGCCCAAGTTGCCCCAGCCGGCGGCTGTAGCGTTGGCAGTGCCAACGACATTTGGAGCAAACATCAAAGAGCACCAAAACTGATTCGTAACGAAAGTTGCGCCCACGCAACCAATGAAGAAGCGGATGAGCGTATAATTCCTTGGGGGCTGCGTAGCCTACCCAAAAACAGGTTAACCTGTAGCCCATGGTAGAACTTTATGCACCCAACAAGGTTAAAGCTTACCTACTCAGCACCGAAAGTTCCATGGCGCCGTGATGGCTCCCGCCATAGCTACCCAGACAGCCCCAAAGCTCAGCAGCCCAGCCTGGACTTGGACTGGCCCAAACCTTTCCAGAAGTGTTCCCAGGGCAGCTCTTACCTGGGTTCTTGTGAAGGGACTTTATTTAAGTTACCATTATATGGAGCTATAGCAAATAACCATGGTTTCTCTATTATATGGTAACTAAAGCACATCTGCTAACAAGAACCCAAGTTACGAAGATGGTAGAAGAAACCGCAGCGACTCCGGCATTGGCGATGACACGCTGACAATGTGTCCCAGGCGTGCACACGCAGCTGGAGAGGACCTCGGGACGGTACTTCTGCGCCTCAGGGCTGCCCACGGCAACAGCGTCTGCTGGCACTTCGTGGCAATCGGCGGGTGTTCCGTCCACTTCTTGGACGCCATACTGGCAATGGTGTAAGTTGGTTTGTAAGTTCTTGTAAGTCAAGTAAGCTACTCGCGTGGGCACGCTTGCAGGCGGATAGACTTGGTTTTCACAGACACCCATGCTTGTGGCCACCTCGAGGCTAAGCGGAGATAAGGCGAACCAGCCAAGGAAGGCCAGGAAGAAAGAGATTGTGCTGCCCCAGAAAGCACGCATGTGCGGATTTTCATGCACACTGCCTCCGACTCGCAGCAAGGGAAGCTCTGTGGCTTTCCCCTTGGAATCCACTCGACATTTGAACTTGCTTGCTTTCGTCTCGCATGGCGCGGAATTCATTGCTTCCGCTCGGGAGACCTATACGACTAAACGACGACTTAGGGGCTGGGTACCCTAGCCCA